CACACACACACACACACAGTCTCTCGACATTGCCAAGTATCCCTTCTGGGGCAAAACTGTCCTCACTTGAGAACCACAAGTGGCTAAATTAAGCCCGCCTGCTTCCGTACTTGAGTTAAGAAAGGGTTCTGTGTCGATTTGGGGCCTTTATCTTCCACTTGGGTCATTCTTTCTCAGCTCATGAATGCTATGTTTAACCCACAACATGTAGCACAGAAGGAAAAATGTGAAAGGTTAAGAGATGTGGAAGAGAAATGAGGAGGCAGCTGGTCAAAGAAAGACAACCACCATATACTTTCACTTACATGTGGAATCTGAGGAACAAACTAAACCAACCAACAAAGAAGAGATAGACTCATAGACACAGAGAACAGACTGCCAGTGGCCTGATGGGATGGGGCCTTTGGGGGCTGGGTGGGAAAGGTGAAGGGATTAAGGAGTGTAAATTAGCAGTTACAGCACAGTCACAGGGGTGTCAAATACAGCAGAGGGAACATCCTATATAATAAAACCCTAATATGCAAATCAACCAAACAGCAGAACGACCGGTCGCTATGATGCACACTGACCACCAGGGGCAGATCTCAATGCAGGAGCTGCCCACAGGCCCCAGGCCAGCCAAGGTGGGTACCAGCGGGGGCTCCCCTGATCATCCCACTGGTCACCCCCCAGAGGGAGGCAACCAGCGGCAGTAGGGGGGGCAGGGCTAGTGAGAGGGTGGCTCCAAGCCAGCCAACGTGGGTGCCAGCAGGGGCCCCTCAATTGCCCCACCAGTTGCCCCACAGATCAGCTCTGATCACCGGCCAGGCCTAGGGACCCTACCTGTGCACGAATTTCATGCACTGGGCCTCTAGTAGTCAAAAATATTGTCATAAATATATGTATGGTGCCAGGTGGATACTTGAAGTATTGAGAGGGGATCACTTCAGAAGTTATATAAATGTCTAATTACTATGTTGTATACCTATAACTACTATAAAATACTGAATACCACCTGTAATTAAAAAATACAGCCTAAGTGCCCATCAA